ATATTTCTTTTGTCTGTACACTATTATCTATTATGTGTTTGAGTTATTTATATTTTAATTTACTTCCGACCATTCGCGAATAAAGGGGTAAATCCTACCGAGTCGGCGATTCAAATAAACAGTCTAAATGTTTCTATTAAAATTTTTAATTGCTTTAAATGTACGTTTTCTACATAAACAAAATTATCTAAACTGATTAGACAGTTTATTGAAACAGGTACTTGGTTTGCTATTTCTAATTAAACTGGTTCCAGAAAATTCAGTTCAATTAAACCGAATAATTCAGTTGCTTAGAATTATTAAAGAATGTATCAGGGATACTGACAATTTTCCAGGAAAACTGTGAATTGATCACGTTGTCTCAGGGTACAAATGTTAAAATGCTAGGTTGTCGAACATTTAGCTAATCATGAGAAGGGAAGCATTTACCATCATTAGCTCACTTACCAATTTTATATCACATTTCATCAGAAATGTCGTGTCATATCACGCTAAGAGGTCGGCCGGGTGGTACCACCACGTGCGACGGTCAGCGACTCCAATCACCTGTTTGCTCTCTCCACCCTCTAATCTCGGAGACAACTAGACCGATGTTGATAAAGTTTTTAAAGCACTCATGCTACTCCCTGGTGATTTTTAGTCGTAGTAAGAAAAGTGAAGATTTTACAAGATTATATACATTGTTTTTCGCCGTTTCTCAAATTACTTATAATCTCAGGCTGCAATCAAAAACATCATTTATCATCAAAGTTTCCAAACAGCGAAAGTATCATTTTTTGTTTTTCAGTTACCATATTTATCGCCAATCTATCTTACGAGATTTTTTCATTCTTCGTTTAAACTGCGGCAGCAGTTTTTACTTAAGAGCATTGTTTTGGTGTCAAAACCTTAGAGGCTTAGAGGTTTTCCATTTTTCTTTCCAGGAATAACGAAATTAAGTACAATCACGCCAAATCAGATTCTGCTGATTTTTGCGGAGGTTTTAAATTTTAATAAGGTCGTTTCAGTTTTCATAATAAATCACTATTTTTTTAAAACTTAGTTAAACAAGGGTGGCGGGAAACAAAAATATTGCTGAAGTGCAGCAAGGCGCGCGGTGTAAAAGTGTTTATTCAAAACATGCAATATGGTATTCAAAGATTATTTCAGAATGTCAACTAGGGCATGAATAGTTAATTCTCTCCTAATTAGCACTGCGGATTGTGTTTGCAACCACCCTAACATTTTGAAACCAGTTGCTTACAAGATCAGGTTAGGTCCTTTTCAATGTTGTTTTATTATTTTTGAATATTGATAACCACAGTCTATCAACCATGTGCCACCTATGTGTCACAACCATACAGCATGTAACCCCTCAAACCTAAAGTTCAACAAACACCGACCAATAATACACTTTTGGTCACATATCCTGCCAAGGAAACCCGAAGATTTGGTCGAAGGTTTCGCAAAATACGTTCTCACGAGGAGTAAAGAGAGTAAAACGGACATAAACATGGTCAGCGAATTTTAGAAAACAAAATGTTTTACAAAACTAAGGAGCGTTTAGGTTTCTCAAATGCTTCAGATGAAACACAGTATATTTTTACTGTCTCGTGGTTATCCTATTCATAAGCTCTATTATGGTAATTTCCGTTATTTTCAGCAGAATAGGGATAGGTAAACACCGTAAATATATACAGGGTGTCCCATTTCGAGTTCATGAAAAAAAATACATTTAGCGTTTGTAAAGACCCTGTATAAATGGTTCATAAAGCTTGACAGGCGCTTGAATCACGAGAAGCTATGTATGTCATATGAAGCACTTTCTGACGAAATCTTTAATAAATATCTGCAAAAGACTAACTAACGTATATGTTGTCTAAGTTGGGCGTTTTGCCTGACAAAATACGTCATAGCTCCCAAACTAGCCATAGAATCATCTAGTAATTAGAGATTTTGCTACAGGTACTCGGCCTGTTATTGAGCACACGGTTCTACCCAGTATTAGATTACTTAGCCGGATAATTAGTCTCACGACAAGGAACTGAAAATGTGCCAAGTCTGATATCGTATAGATTCCCTAAGACTTTCGACTATATTCTTCTAGAAATTGTCACTCTATGAAAATAGGTAAGGTGACAGCATATTTTTGCTAGAACCAGTTACCTGTTTTGGGCAGTTTAAACAGAAATTAAATTGTGGTCGTAACCTTGTTTTTACTTTTCATTTCCTCTTTTATTTTCCCTATAAATACCCAAATGATAACACAAATCACACAATAAACAAAATCCAACAGACGTCGAAGTGACGTAGATAACTAGCTTGCAGGTATCTACAACGCAAAGCAAACATTTACCCATATGTAAGGATGATTTAGGTTTGATCCTGTCCAAATCTTAGCTGTTCTCGCCACGGGATCAAGCAGCGTCAACCTAGGTTTCTTTTGTAACCTTCTTCAAAAAGCACCCAGACACATAAGAATTCAGTGTTAATGGTGGCAGATTTTATTAGATAATTTTTCAAAATATGAGCGGCCTCACGCTACCTACCTAAAAATTTAGATTATGAAGCAACATTCTGAATGTCTCACACACGTACTTCTTCAGTGATAGGAAATACTGAAAAAGGTATCAAAAACAAGGAGTCTGAAAACGTAATGTCAAAATAGTAGCATTGCAAGTCTTTTAAAGCTTTAGAGTAGTACACAAGATGCACAACAATTTTCTTCGTGGAGCACTAATTTCTCGGAGGAGTATGGTGTGTTTACTTTGAAAATACGTGAACTTTTTGAAAATACAAACATATTATTGATATCACTATCAGTAGCTGAAATAATAATCCACCACACAGTCACCAGCTATACCAGACTTCCTCGTTTGAAAAGGTTATTCAGCAATATCCAATAATATACATGACATTCCATTTAAAAAAATGTACCCGTTTGTGTTGCCATGGCCGATTATCCAGTAAAAATTCACCTCGAATGTTCATTGCCCAATCCAGCCCATGAATACTGAAGTAGAATCGAATGGAGATATCTAAGATGGTCCTTGTTCTCCAACTGATTGCTGCTTATTTGTGTGATGATTCTGGGGAGCTAAATGAAGATGTATTATGTAACCCTTAATACATTCCTGCTTTTCCATTTCGTAACTACAAATTTCGTAGTCTGGGCATCTGATGCATCACAGGGAGTTTAAGTAACTTCATTGCCAGAAGGAGGCACCGAAAAGAACTGTTTCGTGTGAAAGAAAAGATCGACGCTGCGTAATGCGTAAGGTTTTGGAAAGGAACAAATTGATTCACAAAGTTTAAAAGAAAAGAAATCACTTAAGACGAGAAAACGACCTTCACATCCACGACCTTAAACATTCTCATGAATAAGAACCTGTTATTTGATAAGTTGCTTCCTTCCATATAAAAACTTTTTATGAAAACAACTTCTGTATTATAAGCTTACTCATCTCCATATCCCATAAGACTACGTAACTTTTGAGTATTTAGAAAACTCTTGGTGTCAGTGTACTTACCTCGTGTAACCTTGGAAACACTAAACACGAAGAATCCTTCCACAAAATTGCGTAACAAATGTCTTCGAACTAAAATTGGACGTCGGCAGACCGCAAGAAAATTGTTCTGTAAACTTTGTTTTGAAGTGTAGAGAAGGATTGTGCTCACCAGGAAAGGAGGTTATTTGCGGAGAAGGAAGCTGCTCATTTAAGGGAGTGATTAAAGAAATATTTTTCTTCCTTGGTCTTTCCGTAAGGTTTCAGACATCTCCATAATACGCTTATGCATCGCTCCTTTCATCTTACGCTATTAGTGGCTAAAATCACGTCGACAAAGCCGACGTCGGATTTATTTTGTATACTGATCAGTCGCAAAGACTAAGTCAAAATATACCGTATTACTCCAACAGCTATACTTAAAAGGGTAGAGAATTTTTACCTAAATCAGATCCTTCCCTTCACTGGCTGTGCAAGTGTAAATAGTAGCGTAATGCATCTACCACATCGCTGTTGAAGCACGAGCATCTCGTCTCACATGTAGCTTGTCCGTCCAATATTAGATGCTTGACAGTGGGAAATCGCATACAAATTCACGTCCCTAAAAACCTTCGAACAAACTGAAACTAGTGGCCTCATAATATAAACAGCACGGGTGATTGAAAAGTGACATGATGACGATTTTTTTGTGACATTATGTAGAATTTTCTACAAGATGTTGACTTAGCACTAGCTGATGGACACGTTGTGAACTCGTTTTGTACTTGTACGTGTTGCCAAAACGTCATGAGGCTTCAGTTATCAATGTTTGGCTCTGATGTGATGCAAAATCTGCTTCAGAGATGGCATTACTGGAGGTCTAAACTGTGAATTGTATGTGTTGATGATAGTTCAATTGGATTCCTGTCTCAAATATACTTCGTTGAGATTCAAAGCTAGAAATTCGTTGCGCATCCACTTTTTCTTATCCATTCTGGCAATGACATACGCAAATTTGCTGAATTTCAAAGATGAGATAAGAAATAATTATATTCACTGTATATTGTCAAACTACAAGTCATATACATGATAACAGTAATTACACACAAGGCGGGCGCGGTGGTGATTTCCCGTAATTCTCCACAAAGTTTTTCATAATTGATAACATTGAAAGGACAACATATAAATAACCTGTCGGGCACAGATAATTGATACACTTCATTAGCAGCATATTCAGTAATGATTTTCTCGCACAGCAAATATCACTGATTTTGTACACATATGCAGACCAATACATATAATAATTCAGAGGCGATCTTGCTATTCAACCAACTTTCTTCTCAGACATGAAAACTACAGCTTACTCGCTGCACAAAACATATGCAACCAACAATCGGTATAGACGTATAGTTGTACCGTTCCTCCATAGATCCTCCAACGATCCTAGTGAGCAAACGTGGAATGACTTTGCGCCCTAAAAACTACCTAGTCTGTAAGATGACATTTTATAGGTTTTTTTTTTGACGTTCTATAAGTTCTTTTCATAATACCCGTGCAGATATGTGTTTCGGCTGCCTTTTATTTGTACATTACTTCCTTGATAATATTTAACTATGACGTCTTTCGTTAACGGAAACATATACAGGGTGAGTTTCTAGTGTGGGCTTAATCATTACGTAACGTATGTCTCTCATGAGGTCCTGAACGGAAGTCAGATCAACTTGTCTCAGTGTTTCGTAAATTCGCCGTCCTAATTGTTCTTCATCTTGGTTTCGCAGCCTCCATGATAAACCCTCCTAGACAATAAAGCCCAAGAATCCTCTGTTGGGCGAGCCTGCGGCAAGCTTGGTGGATTACCGTTTTTGGGAACGAAGGTATGTTATGTTGTCGACGCCAGTTTTGGGCATCGTGCTAGGTCTGGCGAAAACATGATATGATCATTAGCATGATGTTCGTGGAAATACTGGAGCAGTTTGGAAAGGCAGTTATCAATATAGCTCTGACTATTCAAAACTTCACCCCTCACTCTTCCCATAAAAGGTTGGGATACGCCCCTGTTAGAAATTGCGCACCAGATCAGGATTTTATCTGCAAATTTTGCTTTATATTTATATCTAACATTGTCAGGACATTCATCTACGTTGTCCGTATAAAATCCGTCGTTTCCCTTCATTCAGAATTACTCAATTACACCTTTCGTCGTCCAAAGTAAAGATCTTTCCATTAGCAAAGTGTAGCCGCGTCAGTTGATGACAGCAACTTGCACCTGAGAATATTTGGGGAACTTAAGTCTTTTTCGATATTTAACCTCTGTGGACGCACGTGGTCTCCCACTTTTTGGGAGATTCAGACATGGTATTCCCTGCTCCCAATCCGCTATTGTTCGATAAATGGTTCGGCTTGAGATGTTTCCATTCTGGAATATTCGAGAGATTTCAGCTTGGGTACCCACCCAACCAACTTGTAGATACTTTTCTTATTTCTAATTTATACATCTTAAAGCAAAAACCTCAAGTTACACAAACAAATATCAACTGACAGTGGAGTAGGTAAACAAACTTTTGTTTAGAAAGGCAACTTGATATTAGCCGATGACTTTGTGCCAAAGCTTTTAGGACATACTTTTTAGCACCTCAAAAAGTATTTAAGGAAACTAAGTCAAACGTATGCTCCTTACTTGGAAAATATTTGTATCTGTGCATTGTGATTTATAACTACGTGATGACTCCAACATACATTATTTTAAATGAATATCTCTTCATTCTATTTCAGATTTCGATAAGCTCCTTCAAACAAAGGGGTTTGATATATCAGGTAACCAAATAAATTCGTGCGGTTGCTGTATATCGCACATTGTCGTGGATATTGTTGATCGATATATATTGTTTGTTACCTGTTGTCACGTTAGTAGTAATCGGTCTTTTCTCACACACATAAAAAGTTGCTGGAAATTGTTACATACCTAGTTTCAATAATTGAAAATGGCGACGTATAAAACAGTAACTCTAAGTTGTTTACTGTGTGAGTACAAACTTGGTACAAAAGCTGCAGCGGCGGCGCGAAAAACATGTACCGCATCACGTTAGTGATCTCAGTTTGAGCGATGAGCCGCGCTCAGGGACATCAAAAATCATGAACAACGAGGATTTTCGACAGGTTTTGGACTCAAATTCCAGGGCAACGTGCTAAGAACTTGCAGAAATGTTCAGCGTGAGTCCTGAAACTGTTGGTTTGCATCTTCATCAGCTAGGAAGGACGTGGAAGTTAAGCAAATGGGTCCCACATGAACTGACAAATGATAACAAATTAAGTCGTCTTACCATTTGTTCAGCAAACCATTTCTTAATCGGTTATTAACCTGCGACAAAAAAATTGATCTTGTATTTGAATTCCAAGCGTTCGTATCATTGGTTGTCTCCTACTGATTCGGTACCACACACGCTCAAGGCTTCCTTGCACCCAAACAAGGTTTTGTTGTGTGTTTGGTGGACGGCAACTGGAATTGTCCATTATGAGTTTTTGGAAGGGGATCAAACCATCACTACTAACTTGTATTTTGAGCAGCTTCCACGAGTACAAGCAGAACTCATCCAGAAACAGCCTTCTTTGATCAATCGGAAGAAAGTGATATTCTTGCAGGATAACGCCAAGCATCATACTGCAAAAGCGACCCAGAAAAAAATTCTGAACTCGGCCGGGAATCGTTACCGCACCCGCCATATCCTCCCGACATTTCGCCAAGTGGTTATCACCTTTTTTGTCTCTTGACAACTGTATGGGGCACCGACAGTTCACAACTCGAGGTGTAATAAGTGTCAGTCTGCCAATTTTTTTACTCCAAATCCAAGGAGTTCTATACTACCGGCTTACAAAAATTGGTTTCACGTTGGCAAAAGGTCATTGAATGTTATGGTAATTACTTCGACAATAGGGTCTTATTGTTTCTCAATAAAAATTTATTTAAGACTACTAAAAAGCGCAGGAACGTATTTGGTTACCTGATACTATAGAGCTTTATTTTTAATTTGTTGGTATATTGAACAATCTATCAAAAAAAACTCATATTTGGCAACGTGCACCTCTTCGAATGTTGTAGATAGAGAACTGAATTTTCCTCCCAAAAATTTTTTCCATTTATAAAGGTTCGCTAAGAGCGAAAAATGTACGATTTTTCAATATCTTCTACTGAAATATTTCACTTTCAGGTAGTTTGATTCTCCTTTCCACAATCTTTTTTCTTGGTATCAGGTTTATGGGGCTTGTGTGGCTGGTTTCTGAGTCACAGCCAACCTTTTTGAGAATCAGATACATCAAGATGAATGTAAGGACAGCTGAAATGTCAAAATCCATCAAGTTGTTACTTGTTGTAGTCCGTGAGATAAATAGAAGTTTCAAAGTTGACATTCTCTATAAAAATCCACCATTTTTATTTCACAAGATTTTTAACACTTATATTAGTGTTACTCGCAGCACTAAAAAATACAGGAACGTCTCGTATGTAAAATCTACCAAGCAGTTTGAGGTGAAGCCAGTAAAATAGAATTTTTTGTCCACATACACGTATCCACGCTGAAAAACATAACCCTCCTTCTGAGGCAGTCGGGTAATAGCAGGTACATCACAATAGCAACAAACATGACTTAAAGTTAAGAAATTTGGATGCATAGATGTGCACAAAGCTACAACTAGTACCACCAATTTGTGTAAAGTTTCATGATGAAGAGAAAATGAGATGCCGGAAGGTATCATGTCTCCGTTGAAGGCAAACTTTACCTCCGGCATGCGGCACCTTAAATCTTCATAGAAGCTAGTCTCCTAATGCTGGGCATCAAATAAAACACAGAGTAATTCCAGTATACAATAGTAGGAGCTATAAACATACAAGCCGTATTTGAAGTGACGTATTTATTGGCCAAACTACAAGCCAACCTCCAAGTTGCACGAACTGCTTGTTCTTGTCGCAAAACAAACTTTGATACGCGTGTGGAACTTCCACAGCAAATGCATATAAACAGTTCCCAGGTACAGTAACTTATTCACGCCTAAAACTCCAAGTCGTTCACTTTGAAATATGAGGCAAATCCATATTCGTACTTGCAGAGTTTGTTTGGCTAAGGTATACGAACTATAAAAAGTAAAATCACTGATTCGGACAATTTTCAGACTATCTCAGTATAAATTTTCAAAAATATACCGGGTGTAAAGTTATAATAATAAACTTATTTCCGGTTAACCCAAAATCACAGCAAATCCAGTTAAATCAAGAAATCGTACATCGTATAGACAATAATCTATAAAATAATGACCAAAAGGAAAAAAATAGTATTGTCATAGATGAAGTAGATATTGTATAAGCAATCAGTTGCTACTGTAAAATAACATAAAGATGATGCTACCCATAGATCATCACCATGCTTAGGACAATCAAGCGATTTTCTACTTCTTATAAATGCGTAATATTTTATTAACGTGATCATCAGCTCTATCGCAGATTGAGTAAGCAGATCATTATGGGGGATCTCAGTGAAATATATGGTTCTGACCAAAGAATAATCTGGAAAGGTGGAAGTTTATCTTGCTCAGTAGGAACCCTCAATCAACATGGTGGAAAACATTGACAAATTCTAATGATCCGATCCTCCCTCTGGATTTAAGCTGTAAATTCCCTAATTTAATAACAGCATTTTGATATAAAGTGGACCAAACTGAAGACGCGTGCTCCTACTTAAATTTAATAAAAGTAAACAGTACAGAATTGTTGATCAGTCCACATTGCAGAAAACAGAGCAATCACGTACACAGTAACCCATCAGCCTTGATGCAGATTGCTTGCAAAGTTGATCTTCATCCTCATGCCTTACGATGAAAGATGACAGAAGACCCCTAAGTTACCAGTTCATAGCCTCTCGATGTCCTACACAATCCACAGATAAATGTCGCACCACCAAAATGCTCGGAATACCAAGTATTCACAGAGCAGATCAACAATGGCCTTGCATGCAAGTTATGTACCAGTCTATAAAGAAGATGAAGCCCATTCAGAACTTTTTCACTGCGACTCATGTTTATCAGTTAAAAGTATTATGTTTCATTTGTCCTTCCTTTGCATTGTATAACGTATTTTTAAAACAGTCTCGATTCAGAACTCAATCTTCGAACATCTATCTGTACTCGGTTTTCTCGCAAATAGCATTTTTAAAAAGACTTTCGAAAAGAAAAGTTATTTAAGTTGCACATATACCAAAATAGAGAGGATTGAAATAGATATGTTTGCTGTCCTTCTCTGTAACCACAGCCAATGCTGTTTTGTGCTTATCAGCAACTCATAAGTGCGGTAAGTAGTCATGCAGACAGATTAACGGTTTATTGTCATTACAGATACGCAGGGCAAACATGTCAAATTCAAGAATATTTTTTTGCTTGAGAAGTTATTTTCGAAATGAATTATGACGGCTTCTACTAGTGAAGCACCAAGGTGTGTTAAAATGTCATCAGAATTCAAAAAGGGAAAAGACCGTACGAGAGAAATGAATGTATGGAATAGATTCAGGTAGATATATCCTATTTTCTTAATCGATATATTTTTTTTAAAAATGTTCTGTTATCCCAGTTTTGAATATACCCAATCCATTTTCTTTTTTATTTTATAATTTCAGGCATTCTAGTCCTTTAGGAGGCATTACAAACAATGTGACCAAATTCTAAAATGCTTCAAGCTTGTTTGCCTGACGAAGTTTAGAAATGAATAAACTGACTGAATGGTGACAATTACTTATGAAATTTAATTATACTGATTACTTGTAAGATTAAATTATGTTCATGCTCACGAATGGCAATTACTTTTTGGCTCCAACGCGGGATAAGTACAAATATAGGGGAAAAGGTCTTAGAGCGGAGTGATCCTACCCTTCGAAATCTGTAAACTTTTGTTTGGTGGCGACACATAACTCAAAATTCATGCATGCTGAAAGCGGCTGGGTTGAAATTCCCGCTTGTGGCTGGGACTGGGCAGTTTATTATCGTTAGATAAATTTATGGTGGCGTGTGATTGCGATTCTATCCGGAATACGTACAAGTTATAGGACAGGAATCAACTGCTGATGAATAATGGTGCCCATTAGATAGTAGATGATGAATGGATATCGCTGAGTTTGCAATGGTTCTGGTGTTGCTCTGCTATTCAATCGAAAATCCCAATAACAAAACAAAATTACAATCTAGTCAGAATTGGAGTACCTACTATTGTTTCTATACATTTCTATGAAGGCATTATAAGAATTCTTTTAGCGTGACCAAAAAACAACCTTGTGAACATCCAAAAAAATCATTTTTACATTAAAGAATTTTAGAGCTGTTGTTTTGCTACTTCGTTGTGATGTTCCTTATTTCGATTTTGCGTATTAGCAAGAGAATCATTCATTCTCCGTTATCGAAATAATAAAGCTCCGTTAGTTACGGAGCATACGGGAGAGCTTTTTATTTTGTCTTATTCAGCACTGTTGCCTCAACTCGCAAATCTGGGTAGGCTCAATTAAAGTAATTTCAAGTTTTTAAGATATATTGCTTAAAATATAACAGACATGTGAGTTTCAGATCACGAATAAGAATAAATGGAGCATTGAGCATGGAAGAAATGGGCATTGTTCTAAATTAACTGAATTGTTATGCTTTTTGTTATACACGATGTGGCAACATAGCCTTTCATTGACAGTTCTGCTTGTGTTGTTTTTTGGTTCTATGATTCCGTTCATTCCTTGTCCGATTTGGATACAAATCTTACCGAAACTTTTCCAAAAAACACGTCAGAATCGAAAAAAGCAACCTTTCATGATAGCCAGTTCCCCGTAAACTGCCAGTATTGCCAGTAATGTCAATTTACCAGGGTGGCCTGAGTAGGCATGAAAATTTTTGTTCAGTAGAGGCTTGTAAAACGACGACGCCATTGTGATAAGCCAGGAAATTTCGCTCCAAACACGTGTTTAGCATAACAGAATAGAAACAGGTTCTTTAACACGGTAGACAAATAAATTGAATTGGATGAATCTGTTGAAGAATAAGCACTCCGAATTTTATATACACGATGTCCTATTTTAATCTTCACCTACATATTTCGAAAACTGCGCATTCTAAAAAAACATTTCATATATCAGTTGTTGGGGTTCGAGGGAGCAAAATGATGGTGACCTTGACGATAACCTTGACTATGCCTGTCAAGGTCATTTTGCGATGAAACAGATATTTTCAAATAGAACATGTCTTTTCATCGGAATTGAAAAATTACGCCCGAACATCATCTTGGCCATGACCTTGACTATTGCGAACAAGGACATTTCGAGGTCAAATCAGGACATCGATAACAAATTGCTCTAGCGAAAATGCTCGACGGCACAGTTGTGAGTTCTGTGGGCATTATCCAAGGACCACTTTGATCATGTTCTTCAAGGTCAAGTCAAAATTTCCAAAGGACTTCTCTCATTTTTGCACTGGAAATGAAAAAAGCAAAAAACTTCACATCTGGGTGTATCCGAATCACCAAGTATGACACGTAGTGCCACAGGTTTGGAAGTTTCCTAAAACCGTAACTAATTAGGTATACCTGTCCTCGTTAAAAAGTAAAACAAACATAACTAGCAAATTTTAGATCTTAGCGGCCGGAGAATGATGCGAGGGTACATATACACAACTTTTCCCTCTTTGTTTTAGTGCAACCGATAAAGTTAACAGCGGCAGTAAAGTGTATTTTACATTCTATGCTCAGCTTTTAATTACATTTTCAGGGATTTGTAAAAAAAAATCCTATTTGTCAACATTTGAATCCGATTTACATTTTCACCGTCAACCAATTCATGTCGACAGCTGGGTACGTTTTACATTATTTAACATTTTTCGCTGTTGAATGGTGTTTCTGAATGTATCGTTTGTTTAGTTTTGTTTTCAAGCTAGCATGTGCTAAAGCTGGTTTTTATATCTATTCATCCAGGGACATTGTAGTTGTATCTAACGTTTCGGCCACCTCGGTTGCTTTTTTCAAAGTGCAAATAAGAAAAATATTCTGCTATTGCCATTTATGGCATTTACTTTGAGAAAGACCGTCGGGTGGCCGAAATGTTGATCCTACATATGTGGTTTCATTGCAAGGACAGAAAGTAGAGATTAGTCGGCACAAAAACTGCAGGATTAGTTTCAGAAGTTACTCGACAAGTACTTCAGGCTGGATCTGTAATGACGTCGAATAGGTTAGGAGTCAGACCCATATAGCGTACATTCTAAAATAAGCTATTTTTGGCTAAAAGTGACAAGCCAATAAATCGGCGTACATTCGGTTCTTTGGAGAAATATTCTGGTAGCTAATCATAGGTACAGCAAGGCAGAAATGCTATGTGTTGCAATGTTAATCACAAAGTCATTAATAATAATCATGGATGGATTAAGAAGGCAAAGGAACGAAAATTAATATATCCGTGCAGTATATGAACAAGTGTGGCTAAATTCGTGATTGTGAAAGGTGTAAAATACGGAAAAAAAATGTTAGCATCAAACACAAGCAATGATGGAATACCTGGTACTGGAAATAGCTTGAACTCTACTCAGCTTGTCTGAATAGTTGCGATCGCAGCAGATCCTTGGCTAATAGACAGACAAACATGGAGGATTTTCAGATTTTATGGGAATTTAATTAGTGTTTTTGATTATCTATGTTTTCTTCGGCCAGCAATATGTATAGACTGAAGTTAGGTGAATCAGGAAAACTACAAGGTAGATGTATGTTTCAGAGGTTTACGTTTTTATAGCGAATTGTTGGTGTGTATTTTCAGCTGAAACAACAAACTTCATACGTATATCCGCTTTCCATGTTAAATATTAGCTCGTTCAGGTGCTGATAAAAAGCCCTAAAAGCTCTACTGTATGCTGAGCTCGAAAAGTTTTTTGAGTTTCCGTTTCCATTCCATATCAGTTTCGTAAACGTTCAGTACAATTTGATTGTATACACAGTATACCTTGCGGATAATGTGCATACACACGCAATAGCCTGCTTTAAGCCAAGGCGAATATTTAATTTCAATAATTTACGGAACGGTTACGGAATGTATAGTGAGAATCAACCTTAATAGGGTTCCTATTTTCTATATTTGCTAAATACCGTGGGTACCGTGGAGCTATAAAGTGAAAGGGAGATGTCACACGGATCCTAGCGACGGAACTTGTGTGCAAGTGACATGCACACATTCTGGTTCATCCTCAGAAATCCGCCAAATGGTATCTCCATGTCTGAAATGACGAAAATACCCCTGGTCTGCGAAATAACTGTAAAGTCTGGTTTTATTACTGCAAGTTGATCAAGGGGGTATTTAAAACATGGACGCGTGAAATAGGTACACCAACTTTTGTGGGAAAACTTTTTACTTGACAACAAAGAATGAGAAAACGTATTTTTTGGGATTCAATCGAAAGTGTTGACAGAAACCAGAAAACTTTAAGATTTTTAGCTATTTATGAGACCTACAAAACCTGCAAAACGAGACTACACGTAAAAAGATCCGACTAATAGCAAACATGTTATGGACGAAAAGCGAGGCAAAATGCAAGTTTTAGCACTTGTTGGTAACGCAACGAAGGTTTCTCGCAGATATTTGAAATTCTTCAAATTTGTATGTTTCATACTTATAAATAACCACACCAAAATTGGATTATATCGTCAAGTAGTTTTTTGAGAATGTCTAAATGTTTTAACCCAAAACACCTGTTTTCTGGCCATCATAACTATAGTTTATTGAGCAATATACAGGGTTAGTTCGTAGGGTATTTTATGGCAAAATGCACTAGTTTACCTTGCCGAGATGAATCGCAAACCATTCCGGAAGATAAATGTTATTTTTATGCAAAAAAGGACGGGTTGCGTTTTTTCTTCTAAACAAACTCAAACCTGTTGTATTTGTGAGTAATTTGCAACAAAAGGTGATAGACACATGCGCTTTGCTTTAAAATGTTTATAGTAACGTATGTTTTTCTAATATCGTAGCGCATTTTTTGAATTACTCTCAAATATACTAAGTGACATTTAAATCCGAACACCCAGTTTAAATGGTTTTATTTTAATAAAATTTTGTATAAGTACTTAATGAAGCATAATAAGTAAATGATAAAAATTTCAAAATGATTGCACTGCGTTAAAGCCCTATGACCTTTAATAATGTGTGGATGCACCCTGATGTGCTACGCATTCTCCAACGCGCCTAGGCATGCTTCTGATCAGGTGGTAAATGTCCTCCTGTGGTATCTCATTCCAGGCAATCACCAACTCCTCTCGAAGTGCTTCTAGAGTCTGAGGAGGACGTTGCAAATTGACCAATCTCCTACCCATCATATCCCACACGTGCTCAATTGGGGATAAGTCGGGAGATCTTGGTGGCCATGGTAACAACGTGACATCATTATGTTGAAAGAAGTCTATTGTGACTCTTCCAACATGTGGTCGGGCATTATCTGGCTGGAAAGTTGGATCTGCCAGGGTGTCAAGAT